TTATTCTACGCTATTATTTTCTGCATTTTACAATATACTGTTTAAAAATATACCCTCTCCTCTAATCTTAACTTTGTTTTATCCCATCCTACTGCTTATCCTTTATTTAATTCCTAAATGACTAATACCTTAATCTCCTGCCATGTTAACACCCAATCCCATCCTGCACATATTGACAAATTCCTAGATTATTTTCACCACAATTTCTACCACATCATTGCCGTATACGAAACTTGGCTCAAACCTGACATCCCATCACCATCTCTTTCCTTACCAGACTATACCCTCTTTCGTCATGAAAGGGCTGATCGACCAGAAGGAGGCGTCGGTCTGTTCGTTCATGATAGCTTGAGGACCAAAATCCTTTTAAAATCACCTTCTTCTGATATCCCACACATTGAATATCTATTTGTCCAAGTTTCCTCTAGAACCTTCTCCCTACTCTACATCGTTATTTACCACCCTCCTCGTGGCCGATTTGACCCCACATTTGAATCCTCCCTCCTTACACACATCCCTCTGTTTAAAAATGTCATAATTGCAGGCGATCTCAACACCAACCTCCTTTCAGTCTCTCCGGACAGAACATACCTTATTGACCTGTTTTTCTCCCTAGACCTATATATTGTACCTTTTCAACCCAACCATCATACCCAGTTCATTGATACCTGGCTAGACTTATTTATCATTGATTCCTCTCAAAACCTATTATCCTCCACGCAAAATCCTGTTTCCTTTCTCTCATCCCATGATCTTATCGAAAATCTCTTACAATGTTATCTATCCCTACCATTGTCCCCAAACAAATTTCTTGGAAGATCTCGACGACCTAACCATTGAAAACATCAGACCTTATCTCGATTCCTTAGAACCCATCTACTCCCTTTCATCCATCATTGACATGGTGGAACACCTTTCCTCTAACCTTCTTGATTTCCTTAACCATCACGTCCCTTAAAACCCGTACTTTTAGACGTCCTGCTGCTCCTTGAATAAATTCAGAAGTCAGAGGGATGATGAGAGGAAGAGAGGCTGCCAGAAGACGATACAGATGTACACAACTACCCCAACACCATATTCAAATCCCTAAGGAATAGTACACTAATATTCTTATGCCGGGCCAAAGCTCAATACTTTAACAATGTACTATCCCAAGCACCTAATCCTAAATCCAAATGGACAATCCTCAGGAAACTCTCTGTCATAAGCTCGAAAACCTGCACACTTTATCCAGTACATCCAAACGAACTAAATACCTTTTTTGCAAACCATCCTACTTCTGTATTCACATCTGACCCCATACCTTATTCCATCACTGAAACCTCCTTTGACTTAGATAAGTTTTTTTTTCTTGATATCTCTCCAACTGACCTACTCTCTACTATCCTTAAATACAAAACACACGACTATGGTCCTGACCAAATTCCTATGAAAATCATTAAACTCTGCTTACCAAACTTACTTCCTATACTCCTACACATCTACAATTTTTCCCTCCAAAATTCCATTTTTCCAAAAGCCTGGAAAAAAGTCATAGTCGCCGTTGAACAGAGTCCCAGCTCCTTCACTAATATGCGACTTCAGACCCATTTCCATTTTATCCAATTTGTCCAAGCCTCTAGAAAGATTAGTTCACTCTCAGTTGAACAACTTTCTAGAGCAAAACTGCTTCTCAATCCTCTACAATCCAGTTTTCGTTCCCAATACTCCACCCAATCTGCCTTACTAAAGATTACCCAAGACCTCCAATCATCCATAGACAAACAGAAAATCTCCATCCTAGTCCTTTTCGACTTTTCAAAAGCTCTCGACACCGTCAATCATAATATCCTCATTACCAAACTCCAAAGCCTACCTTTATCGAATAGCGTTCTGAAATGGTTCCTCTCCTTTTTATCCCATCGCTCCCAGACAGTAGTTATTCCTGACAAATCTCCTTCCTCCTCTCTTCAATTAACACAAGGTGTTCCTCAGGGATCCTCACTCTCTAACTCTGTTCTCTAACTCATTTATATTAGCGACCTTCCTGACTCCATTAGTCATTCCCACTATCACTTATATGCAGACGTTCTACAAATTTACTTATCGTTCCAACCATCTGAGACGCCCGAGGCTATCCGAAAACTACAAGAGGATATTGACTGTATCCATAGGTGGGCGTTCCCATATATCTTGTTGGTACACCAAGTTGAAGTGCCTATATCCTACTTCCTGACGGCAATTCCCACTTGGTGTTTTCCTTTTTCAAGTTCTCAGAAGCTCCTTACTTTATGCCCCTCTATCCACTCTCTCAATACCAGATCTCAACCTATAATTTATATATCCCCTCCCATAAAACCACTTCCTTCAGTAAATCCTTCGTCATTCGTGTTACCTCCTTATGGAACTCCTTACCCATCTCCATAGATAGATAGATAGATAGATAGAAAAATAACTTTATTCTGGGACACAGTCCCTTGAGAATAACAAAATAGAACAAAATTAAAAGATCACATCTGGCCAAAATAAAATCAATCAAAAAAAAGAAATAATGTAAAAAAAATATAAGGTAAACATTCTATATACAAAACAAATGAAACTATATACAAAACAATTAATACTATGACAAGGCACTTAATAAGGATAGACCTATGTTTGCCATAAATAATACTAATCTTAAGTGCCTGGGTATCATGGAGGGATGGACATATCTGGGAGCAAAATTCAAATCCAATTACTGGGATTCAGTCAGCATACCAAACGATTTTTCGTCTGCTTTGCAAAGGATTAAGGAAGCCCCAATAAAGACTGATTACTTTGCGAATGTACCTCATTCCAAGATTTATTCACGTGCTCACTTTAAGTAAGAATAAGGTTTCTGAGTTGGAGAAACTCGACATTCCGACGAGGTCCGCAGTTCGGGAATGATTAAAGTTAGCCTAGGATACTCCCACCCCTTATTTTCCCACATCGTGTTCCAGTGGTGGGCTGGGAATAACGAACTATTCTCTGACCATTGCCTCACTTTAACTCGGAAGGCTACGAAAAATGGAATTTTCCAGATGCCAAGCAGTGAGGGCTGCTTTTGGATCCTCCTACGTAGCTCAATTGATAGAAAAAATGTCTGTCCGCCTAACAAAAAAAGGCATAAATCCTGAAAACGTCTGAAATCAAGAGTAGAAGCGATTTTGGGCCATGAAACTTTATGAAAGTGTCGATGAGAAAGCTCTTAGGGACGGCGGTCTCTGTAGCCCTTCAACGCACTGGCTATCGGATTACGCATTAGTATCTAAAGGTCGGGAGTTCATTCAAAACGTGAAGACACACATAAATGCGTAACCAACGAAAGTTAAAATGTACCCAAGGAAGAAGAGCCTACATAGAGACCCGATACCGAGGAGGGTGCTCTGCCAACGAGACTGCAAGTCATGTCATCCAAACATGCTACCAAACCCATGGGGGAGGGTTAAACGACACGATGATGTTGTAAATTTGTTAGAGGAAGCCCTCCGCAAGAAAGATTATGAGGTTGAAAAAGAAAAAACATACATAGGTAGCAAAAGAAAGTGGAAACCGGATCTCGTCTGTTCTGGAATGGGAAAGACATTCGTAATAGATACCCAGATCGCTGGAGATAATCGAAGTACCTCTTACTGGCACACAGTCAAGATCAACAAATACAAAGCCTTAGACTGTAGAATGGCTATTGGTCGAACAATTTCCATTCATGAACATTAACGTATATTCCTGTACTTTGACCTGGAGAGGGATATGGTGTAGAGATTCCACACGTGATCTTTCAGGATTGGGAATGACAAAGAGAACTATGAATCACATAACATCAAGTGTTCTAAAGGGATCGAACTTGAATTATTACGGTTGGCATAAATTGTTATTGTTGGCATAAACCCCGTAGAAAATTATAAGAAATAATTTATGGGTTATTTTTTTATGTGGATGTGATATCATATATACATCACCTCTAATCTAAATTTTTTAAAAAATTTTTACGTTATAATAATTTAGATTTTAATCTGAGTTAATATAAAATGTTCAATATTGAATCCCACCGGTGCTTAAAAGAGATATATTACCGAAAAAAAAAAAAAAAAAAAAAAAAAAAAAAAAAAAAAAAAAAAAAAAAAAAGAAAATGAGTGTGGTTGAATTGCTATTAAATATATATTATTTTATGAATATTGTTGATGTGTATGGCGGTGTAAGTAGGTATGCGTATAAGTGTATGTACAAGTGGGCATATGTGTGTATTGATTGTTAATTTTATTTTTATTGAAGTTTTGCATATATTGGGTCTGTGTATATATTTGAAATATTTATGACGCAGCAAGTTATTGTATAAATATCTGCATAGCCTTTGACGAGAATCTTAATGCTTGTGAGACCTGGGGACTCTAATCCAGGATTTATGTTTATATTAAATGGATTTTAATGAAAAATTAAACACCTTATATTTATTTAATTTTTCTATTAACTTATGAAGTGACTTATATATAATTGTATTAACATATATACGTTTCCAAAAATAATAATTTTAGTCATTTTTTCCTATAATATCTACTTTTAAAACTATAATATTCACACATAGTTACCATCATAGTTATTATAAAAGATTTTGCAAATGATTTCATATTTAGCTCATGTCATGTATAGAAATGTTTACAATAACAAATAAATTTGATGTTCGTGTCAGCCAAACCTAATATTTGTTCTCTTTTATGATGCCTATCTATTCAAATTTAAATTGATGTTCTACAAATTTCATTATAGTTACACAAATATGGCAATTAAACAAACTATCAATAAATACGAGTTATCTCGTGGTCGGCAGTCAACCTATTAAGTAATAAATATATGCTACAAATATATAGCTTATTTAAATCAACAGAAACATGTTTGATTCAGTAAAAATAATAACTTGTAACTTTAAAATTTTCTATAAAATTATTCACTTTTATTTAAACTTAAATTTTTAATATAAATAAGTGAATTATTGTTTTTTAACCTGTTTGTGGCATTGACAACATTTGATCTGATATAGATGGTCCTAGCATATGACCTTGATAACTCATGTAACCACTATCACCAACATTACTAACAGGCTCTATAGTTTCAGCACTACTTCTTCTATCTGAAAGTAAATATATTTACATATAAAATTAAAAATTAATGAATTTCTTTCTTTGTAAAATGCATCAAGTAAATTAATTGAGCAGAAAATAAAATACAAAAATTAGGAATGAAGTAAATAAAAATGTAGTAGATAATAAAACTAACAAAAATTAATATCGATAAACATTTAAATTGAAACAAAAATATCATCAGTAATCACAATTTATGTCATTTAAATTTAGGACAAGTAAAAAAACTATAGAATTCAAAAGATTTTTAAATACAAAGACTTTTTTTATAGAATCTCTTGTTCGTTGGGTTAAAAACAATCAGAAAAAATAACATTAGATTTCAAATAACTAACTATTTATTGCCTATTTCAATCTGATTTTTTTCTGCTTGCTGTATATAGCTCAATGAAATTGTTTTTAATTTAGGAAATAACTCTCAAAACTATTGACCAGAGCAGGTCTAATAAACAAAATTTTATATCTACAACTTAAGTTATAGAACTTTTGGTATTAACAATTCTTGTGAGAGGGAGGAAGATGTTTGATGCCAATATACCGATTTCTGCTACATACCCTATCCATTTAATGATATCTGACAAAAATAAATTCCATAAAGTCAGGATTAATACAATCCTTGCATATATGTCAATCCCTAAGACTTTTAGCAGTCAGTTCAACGCATAATATAAAAATTATATAATACAATATAATATTTATTATAATTAATAATAATAATTATAATAATAATAATAATAATTATATTATAATATATATATATATATATATATATATATATATATATTACAATACATTCTATATCATGGAAAAACAAGACATAAAAGATTTTCAACAGTTAATTCTAGTAATTTTTGCAGAAAATACCGGTACTTTAAGGCAAGTGGATAAGAAATCATATTGTTTCTTTACACAACTTGAGGTGAATCCCAAAATTGTTCCAAACAAACCTCAACTGAATTAATATGAACTTAAAGTTTAGTAAACGAGGACATTTTTCTAAATGTGGAGTAAATGTAGTACAGTTGAAGGGTGATTAAAAAAAAAATCAAAATTAATTTATGACTTTTTTTAAAAACAACTTATGTGTTTGTCTGCCCAATAGTCCTCTTTAAATAGTTTTAACAACGACAAACTCTACTTTCGATTAGAGTTAATTTTGTCTAGTTTACATCGGAGCAAAGTTATCACTTCCTATTCAACAAAAATGTGACTCGCTTAAAAAAATATACCATTAAAAAATATATAAATTACCTACTTTTGTGCTGGAAATTGGGCAATTGTTTATATGAACTTTTTTGTAGATCTAGATGTGTACTATCAACATTTTAAATACTGCTCTTTACTTATGGGACACCATATATATATAAAGAGAGAGAGAGAGGGGGTGGGCTGGGGTAGCCTTGCGGGCTAAGGCGCTTGCAGTAGGTAATCAAAGTTAAGCAACGGCGGGCGTGGCTAGCACTTGGATGGGTGACCATCACCAAGGAAAGCCATGCTGCCCGAGGTTCTCCCCCCCTGATATATGAGACCCGTCAGGCTACTGGAGGCAACTCACACCGACCGGGCGTAGGATTGATGACCCCGTACTTTAAATCGGGAATCGGGATGTGGTCTAGGAGACCACACTCGTGGTCAAAGATCTTAATGGTGTGTAGCTCCAACCGAAAAAATAAATAAATAAATTCTTCCTGAAATTCTTTTATAATACAGAACCTATTATGTTTTATTGGTGTCTGTTTGTTATATATGTTGTATTCATTTATTGTTCAATTGTTGGTTTGATTAACTATAATTATTTTTATTGTATTGTATTCAGAAATAAATAATTAAGATAAATCCACTCCATCAGTCTATGACAGAGCATGGACGTAAATCAAACCAGCCAGGTATATTATTGAGAATCATACCCAATAAGTATCATGATGTGTTTTATTAAAATGTTATGGAGACCACTGAGGTGTTCGTCAATTCCCTCATACAAAAACGAAATTTTTACTCCTGCTTAAAAGAAACTATGGATTGCTATAGCATGAGGATGGATGAAATCCTCAAAACTATTTGAGCTACCACAAATTATAAATGTCTGAAAAAAGAACATATAATGGGTCTATAGACCTTCAAAGGGTATAGTGCCAATCATAAAAAATAATAAATTTATGAGATTAGACATAATTGAGGAAACCATAAATCAAGTAACATCACAATAAAGCCATCCTAACAGAAACATATTTACTACTCCAAATAGTTATATAAAGAAGCAACTGAAACAAATCAAAATAAAGAATATTAACAAGTGAAAAGTCTGAAAGCTGTAGACCTTATAGGAAGGGTTCAAATATATAATGCAATAAATATAAATACAAAATAGCAGAGTAATAATATTGAATAGCTGGTATTTCTGTACAACCTTACACAACAAACATTAATCATGCAACAGACATGCAATGCCAATAAAGGAGAGTATTGTATATTAATTAAATAAAAATTGGTACTTGTTTAATCTTGCTGCCTCCCAAGAAGGCTGTTGATTATTTGTGGTTCAGGTAGTTGGCGCTAGTAGTCCTTAGTTACTTTATCAACTGAACCATGCTAAGACGAATCGGCCTAAAAATGCAGGCACCAATCAAAACCATAAACTCTCATCTTATAATTTAGATCTCTTATCTTATGAAGCTATATCATTCAAGCCGCTGGTATGAGACCTTACCAAGCAGAGATAATTGTTTATTGTAGACTTCCAAAATAACAATTACTTAATAGTTTCATTGGAAATAAAAACATTTTTATTTTATTTCCAACAAAAATAGAACATATTCACGGGTAAAAACCTGTTACTTTGCTTATGAGATCCAACGAATATATTAGTAGTAGTACAAAACAAACAGTGACATGATAATAAGGAAGGGGATAAGTAGGATGTTACCTTACTATACTGTGGTCAGCAAGACTAAACAAGTACCTAAAAAACTGATATTAATATCAGTGACACAACAATCGACTGATAAGTAACGATAAATAAAGGACTGCTTTGATTATTCCATTATGCGAAAATCATACAACAAGCATTTCTCAAAGCATTTCTTTTGGCCAAAAAAAATTTAAATGAATTCCTTAAGAGCATTTTGCAAAATTTTAAACAAGAAAAAAAATAGGTAAACCTTACAAATTCGAAGACATGTGGATCCTACACAAATCATAAATGATATATGACAAATGTGTTATAAAAATAGTCACGAGTTCGCGTCCCGGTGCCAAAGCTTCTTTTAAAGCCCACACCCCCTGGTCCGGGAAAACCCCGTATAGCCTTAACAGCGAGGAACGGGAGGACACAAAAAAAAAAAAAGTGTCTGACAGAGTCTAAATGAAGTGTCGATTGTTCTGCCAAGGCTCATATCAACACAAACCATTTGTAATAGTTTGTGGGAAGTTGGTCTAACATCTTATGCCCCTTTAATATAACCTGCAGCAACGTGTGACACTGGTAAATTCGCAGATTATGGTACAATGAGTGCCTAGATGAGGATACAAATTGGAATGCTATTATGTCAAAAGATGAGTCGTGTTTCTATATTTGTAGCAATAGTAGACACCGTAGAGTCTACAGAGAACAGAGGATGGGTACATTGTCACGGTTGTGCTCTCTTCAGTGATGTATGGAGGCGTGGTGTGACGTTATGGGTCGGCATTTACTCAGAAGGATGGACTCTACTTCATATTGTGGATGGTAATCTCACTGCAGTCTGTTTTGTTCAAGAAATTATAGAGGAGTATATCCCTCAAACCAAGGCTATAATCGGTCTAGATTTATGTATTCTTCACAATACGCGACCTCATAGGGGAAAAGATGTTCATCAATATCTTGAAAATTTGGACGTTTCACATTTGTCCCTTTCCAAGACCTTAATCTCATTGAGCATGCGTGGGATGCACTTCAGAGAAGTCTTTTTGACCACCATCAGCAGCACAGCTTCTGAATCTTCACTAACTGAAAGCAGTATTACCATGGAAATTCCTAGTGAAATCAGCAACTATATTATAAACAATATGCCACGTAAGGGAAGAGAGTTAGTTTGTTACACATACTAGGGGGCAGGGTAAGCCTAATGTGTGTGCACAGAAATACATGAAATACAGAAATAAATAAAATGAGATACATGAAATAACTGAATAAAAATAGTCACGAGTTTGCATCCCGGTGCCGGGGGAGTCTTTTAAATCCTCACTCTCACCCCCTTATCCTTATAGAAACTCCGTATAGCCTTAAAGATGAGGAAGGGGAGGACCCAAAAAAATACATACTATATTATAAAGGTTATTACACAAATTATTAAATTTTGACAATTCACAATCATAAAAAACAGATAGAAAAATTTTGACAATTCACAATTATAAAAATCAGAACATAAATTTCTTTGAATATTACTGTTTTTTTAAAACACATTTTACACAATTTTTCTGAGGTAAAATACTATCTTATTTTACCTAAATAGTTATCAATTTATTTTATAATAAAAATAAAATAAAAATTCTATGGAAAAAAAAATGATACAAAACTAACAATATCCCTTTGATTCATTTTTGAGCAGTTTATATAGCAAATATTTTTCTATGTATTCTACACCTTAAATTTTAATTATAACTGAAACTATTTGATATGTTATGACATTCATTAAATCTATAATTAATACAGAGTGGTTTTGTAACTTTCCAATTAAAAAAAAATCAATCATAATTTTTTTTCTAAAAAGATCTGAAGACAAAAGGTTTAAAATACCCATCAAGTTCTAAATTGTAAAACTGAGTATTAAAAAGTAATATTCTCCAAATATTTTATAACCATTTATTCAATGCCTTGACAGATTTTATCCTTAAACTATTATAGGATTTAATACTTGTTTTTTATCTCAACGTCTTTCACCAGTAATGTGAGATTTTTAATTATTGTCCATATAAAAATAAGGTCTAATGAATGATCTTTTCTGCACTCAAA